CCTATAGCCGCCACCTTTTCCATCTCTTTTGCTTTCGTTGCCCACCACTGCTCACGGTCGTTCCTTAGACTTTTGCTTAACCTAGATCTGATTTGTTGTCGCTCTTCATCGTTTTCAGAGCCTCATGGGATGAGTTTACGAGAATCCATCAGTGCAATAGACCTAGAAGAAATCCATTGGTTCTTTGTAACCCTGTGGTTTAAATCACTGATAGATGTCACTGCCGTTTCCATAGCTGTTTGTACAGCTTTCCAAGCAACATCTGGGTCAACCTCGTTTTCAGAACTACCCTGATTGTGACTTCAGTTGTTCCTGGAACCTACTTTTGGTTTTCTCGTTACTCAATTCAATTCTAATGGGTCTTTTTACTGATGCGTTTTTGCGTCCAGTGAGGCGCAAGCACATGCGTGCCCGTATTAGGGTGTGGTCGGAGTTCAAGCAGGTACTCCAGAATGAGCAACAATCTTCTACCGACCCTCTCCAACGACGAATGATGGCAATATGGTCTATTTGAGTCCATCGTTGGTTTGGTGTAGGGGGTCACCATGTTAGACGATTTCTCTCCTTATGCTTAAAATTTGTGTTTGCTAAAAATAAGCGATTGTCTGAGCACAGTTGCAGCAGACGGTCACCATTATCTGTTCGCTGTGCCGGTATACTAAAATACCCACCTAAATGCCTTTCTGTTTGGTTTAAACTACCTATCTGGGCATTAAAGTCACCTGCTACGAGTACTATATCTGAACGTTTAGCTTTCTGAAGAAGTTCAGATAGCTTTCTGTAAAATTCATCTTTCACTTCATCTGAGCTGCAGTCGGTAGGAGCGTAGGCAGAAACGACAAAAAGGCAACGACATGTGTCCCTATCCCTCCGAGTTCTTACAAAGCCGTTTAGCCGAACAGCACATAAACGACTGTTAACGGGGATCCACTCTAACAGTGCTTGTTCCGCCCTCATGCTTAGTGCTCTGCCCACACCTGCCAGCCCACGAGAGCTGGCCCTCGGGTCACCAGATACACGGAGGGTGTATCTCGCTGGCTCTCCGTTTTGTCGAGGTGAGGTCAAGTGAATGACCACACTGGGATCCTGTATGTGTGTTTCAGAGACACAGTATACATCAATGGTACGAGATTCTAGGGTTCTAGTCAAGGAAGCCTGTTGACCGATTTGACATAGGGTGCGTACGTTGAAGGCTCTAATGTGTAGTTTGGAGCGAGGTTTCAGTAGACCTGGGACAGTGTTTTGAGCACTAGAATCGTTGGCTATGGTGACACTTGAGGAGGAAGCCGAAAGAGGAAGTTTAGAGTTGAAAGTCGATGTAGGAGGAATAATAGGAATTGAAGAGGAAGGTTGATTATGAATACAGTGGTCTTGAGTGCTGTTAGAGGTATGAGGGCGGTTTTCACTTCCCGGTTGCCCACACCGTGGAAGGGTTCTTCTGAAGGTACCTGAAAAGGAAATTGGATTAGAGGTGGTCTTAGTGACCTGGGAGCGTGACCGCAGTGCTCAAAGGACAACTGCTTGAGGTCGGTCACACACGACCTTTTTATGGGTAATTTTTGTGTTAGCTCCGTACTTTTTGGGACCTTACCGCCGGAGACGGATATCCGTGGGATAAGGCGAGGTGTGCATTTTTAGGGTCAGGTTTTTCTAACCACACTGTTCCTTGTGGGAAGGCAGCATCGCTGTCATGCTGGTTGTCTGAAGGAAACACCTTACTGCTGTCACACCTCTGTACAGTCAGCATTACGACTTCGCCTTCAGACCTTGGGTTTGTTGCTTTTAATCTTACCGCTCTTCAACCGACCTGTCTGACATGGTAGGACCTTTAGGAACGGTTGTTCCAGCCAGTATAGCTCGGCTGCTTCATCACGATAGGCAAGCCCGACCACCACGTTAAGGTAGCAACAACGGTCGGCTGATGAAGAGAAGTAGTATTCTAATAGGAGTTCAGTTTTTATGAATGATGTAAAATAAAACCACAGTAGAATCGCAATCGGTCTCTATTACGAGCTATATCTGATAACATATCAAAAGATTGAGTTCGATCATCTCTAGAATCCCAAGCCAGGAAGTTATAATAAACTGACAGATCCCAGATTTATATAGTTTGATTTCGTGATAGACGAACATTATCAACATAGAACCTAGAACAAATATGGTCTGATCAAGGTTGCCATACCTGATTACCACGATGAGATGAAAATAACAAAATAGACCAAAATAATGTAACAGGAATGATAAAAAAGACTAAACCACAGGAATGACTTAGAATGCCAAGGTGTAAAGGTATGTACGAAGGGACACTGGAATTCAAGATCGAGGGGGAGATAAGGAGTGAATGCATTTTCGTACTGTGAACGATTCTCCCATAATACGACACCATGCCGTAAACGACCACCTCACTGTTTTTGCCATCGCACCCGAACATCCGGAGATGATACACGTGTGAAAGCCACTAAGATGGAATTCGCAACACATGTCCAAATCATTAAAGCCGGTGTGTGAAGATGGTGAACTATCGTTATAGTACCTGAATTCACGTTGCCGAACCCCAGCATTATTAATGCAAGTTGTTACTGGATGTCAGCAGTTCTTCGAAGATAACAGTAATGAGACACAAAGAGTCTCTGGACATGATCAACTGAAAGAGGCCAGATCACACACTGTATAGACAGGCTAACAAATCAAAGTCCCATATTTGAATAAAAAATCTATCCAGCGCTTCCTGTTTTTCAATGGTTGGTTGATGTTAATCCATAATATAAACTATACAATTCAACAACCTCTACCATCCTCTTATGCTAAAAATGAATATATTATGAATTATAGAAAGAAAGAAGGGAAAAAGAGAAAAAAGAACATATTTTATGTTAAAGTCACTTTAGAGGAAAAAAACACTGACATAGTTATCAGCAACAAGTGTTCAGACGTCGTGGCAATTACTTTTCTAAAAACAATATTTGTGTTTCTTCACACATAGAGCAGGTTATAATGACTTCATACTCGTGATGGATAGTTGTGAATAAGGTATTTAAAGAAGATGAAAGATTAATTTATTGCTTACGAAAAAAATATAATTAACATGCGTGAAAGCTGACTTCGATAAGTTTTTCTACTGAAAAAAAGATAATTTGAGTAAATTAGTGTTGTAATTACCAAGATATGAAAATGTCTATACGCTAACTTAAGTCCTTTTTATTCTTTCATGCATAAAAAGGTTGTCAGTACGTTGGTCTGAAACATTGTTTTCAATAGGACGAAGTAAAGAAAAAACAAGCATAATTCTTAATATTTTCAATAGTGGCTAGCAGTGGGATACACAAAGTGCTTTTCGTCCTATTTAGGACTAGTAAATTACATGTACCCATTTATCATAATATGAATGTTTACACGAGGACGTAAACCTAGAATTTATCATCTTAAACACCTGTTATGAGTATTGTTCACTAAGCTAAAGGAATTAAAATATCTCATAACCAGTTCAACAACCATGAGCTTAATTACAACTGCAAAGGTTGCTGTCGATGATAGAGAATGAGTTTGATCGTTTTCTGTTAACGTATAGACACATTTTGATGGAATGCACTAAAATACTGTCGATATTCATAAATTAATCATAGTTTACATGGGACGAAATCCGAGTAATGGATCTCACTGCTAGTCAATATACAAATTATAATTATCTGTAAGTGAAGAAAGTACTGATCACTTTTAGAGAGCCTATACCCCCCAAAAAACTGTTCAAAATTAGTTTAGAATATCAACAACGAGAAAACGCTTACAAATAATAATAATAATAATAATAATAATAATAATAAAGTATAGTTGATAGCTTTTGGAAAAATATTGATCATTAATTGGTAAGCTAGAAGCAATAACCCACAGAACTGAATTTCGAATCCTGCTAAGACTCATATTTTGTGTTGCCATCGAATCATTCAGTGTACATTTTTGAAAAAATGTCGTAAAAGTCAATTGTGAACAACTTAAGCCATTTTACAAACAGTTAATGATTTCACAAGGAATACAGATTAGCATCTTTTCAGTAATTATATAAGCAATAATCATTTTAGAGTTTTTAGTATTTATTTATCTTTATCTGTAATACAATTTGTAGAACAGTGTATTTGAAACCCGACTTACTAACTTTATTTCCTAGCAGATAAATAGAATCACACTCACTGATCCAAAAACAAACAGAAAATGTAGTGATAATATAATATTATAACGACAACCCTAAGTGGTTGATTAGTCAATCAAAAAACAGGGTTTGGTGACAAATCAATTTGTGGTTAAAGAAACATTAAAATTATGATAGATTAATAGTACCAAGGTGATAAATAAATGGAAAAAGATTAGTATTACGGATTAGAAGACCGGTTACAGTCAAGAGTTAAGGTTAAGAAGTTGTGTTTAAAAACATAAGGGTTAGAACATTCCGTAAACATTCGAGAATACCTTATAATCACAAAACTACTCCTGAATATGCCCTGAATCACATCACGCACGCTCAAACACAATCTGCATATGGAGCACGCATTTCTGGTCATTTACATTGCACACTACGTTAAATCCACTCTGTGGTTACACAAAAACTTTAGAAACTAATCATAACCAGGTTTTTTTAACATACTGAACTTTTAATTTTCGCTAAACGTTTTGCAAGAGCAATCTCAAATTTGAATGGTTACCTGAAGGTATTCGCTACAAAATGGTTTTATAAGTGTAGCTCAAAGCTCATATTTGATAGATGAGTTACATAAACATTATGTATATATTTCATAATAACTGTAAGAGCTTTTAGAAATATTACATGATTTTAAATACACCATTTGAATAGTCTAGTAGTCTGCAGTAAAATTTATAACCACTTATAAATAAAATGAATTCGTATCCATTTCATAGTAAATCACATGTCAAGTTCTATGATGAATAAATAAACCATATACATATGAAGATATGGAATATTAGTAAAAAATATACAATATTTAGCATACCATCACAGAAGAACAAGTCCCATATTCTTAATACAGCTGTCCAAGGTAAAGTTCGTGTGTAAGCGCACATGAACCATTCCAAAACGACAAGATTTGGTTCCACTGAATATTTTCGCTACAAAATAAATTTTATGAATACCGACTTGGAACAATACAGATAGATAGATAAAAAATTTATATAAGATGATGTTATGATCTCTCTTATAACAACCCAGCTACTCTTATCGCTTACTATTCTTTGGACACCATTTCACTTGATAATTCCCTCAAATCAGAATACATTTGAACAGGAACGTACTTATATTTCGAATGAGCAAAGGTTGAATGGAAGTAAAACAATACGTTACTATATTTATAAATTTTACACAAGCAGATTCTAAAGTCTTTTCCAAATCCTGCACGGAACATCCCTTAATCCAATCTATATCCCGCTAACAGATAACAATGGTAAGAAAAAGTTAGAATATACTGCAGATATCATTATTAGCTCATTTACCAGGTATATATTTATGTACTTAACTTGGAGCTACATCTTTAGTGTGAGGCTTAGTTATATTACCCAGCTGCTCAAGCCAGACTAAGTAGAGCAGGATTTGAAGTATGACATAAGCCAATAGTTTGGACGCAATCGGAAGAAAACTTATTCCCTTATAGTTGTTACAGAAACGACGTGAACCCTTTTTAAAGATAGGGACAACTATCGACTCATTCCACGATATTGGAACACTCTCTAACTGCCAAACGTTTGTAAACAACTCAGTCAGTTCCTTAACCAGAAAGTCACCATCATCTTTAAAAAGGGTCGGAGGTAAGTCATCTGGGCCCGGTGATTTGTAGCGCTTCAAGAGTTGGAGATCCTTGCGAATTTCCGCCTCATTTGGTGGATCAGTCGTCACAGGCCACAGAGGGCAGGAAAGCCTGACCGATGTTGCTGGGGCATCAGACCACTTGAATTGCTCCTCGAAAAATTCTGCCCACCATCCAAGACGTCGATAGATGTTAGTGATTGGCATCCTATCACCTTCACAGATTGTTCCGCTTACACTAGCTGCTGCTTCCAACTCATTGACACACTCCCACCACCAGGCTTCTTGGTCTTCACGCAAGCTTTGTCCAAGTTCATTACGTAATATCCTTTGTTTGTGGTCAAACTAACGGTCACCCGGAGTAGACCGCCAGACTTCAATGAGTTGTAAGGAGCCTGTAGAAACCCAGTACCTATAAGCGGGACGTTTCGCGAGGCCGAAAGAGACTCTACTCTCCATTTTCATGGCGTCATGCAATTGTAACCAATACTCATCTATACTTTTTGGTGGGATGGTAGCTAGCCCTGAACCTAGCTCGTTTTGATATTTAGTTTCAACAGAAGCTGCAACCAATTTGCTGACATCGATTAATCTAGCACGATGAATTTGTTAGCCACTGAAACGTAAGATAAGACTAGTGCAGACACGAGCATCATTAGAGTCTAGATAGGTAGTCCAAAAGAAAAAGCAGTCCTATACACAACTACGCCAGAGGTAGCTGATAGCGATATGACCAATCTCAGTCCGGGTTCAGGAAGAAGAGGGAGGACGCCAGGTAGCACAGCGGTGATGATTGTGCCGGCAGTCAGTGCTAGCCAGAAACAGTTTGTAGTCTGCACACAATTGCAGTAGATGGTCACCGTCATCTGATCTGCGACCAACAAGTCCTCATCGACCACCTAAATGACTGAATTCTGTGACTAGACCCTCAATCTGAGCATTAAAGTCTCTGTCTAGTACCACAATATCTGTCGTACGCACTTTCTGTAGAAGGACAGTTAGTTGATGGTAAAACTCATTCTTGATTGCACCTGGGCTGTAATCTGTTGGAGCGTAGGCGGAGATGACAAAATGACATCGTTTCTCACACCGATTTCTTCGTATTTTGATGGGACTCTCTAATCTAACAGCACATAACCGACTGTTAATGGGGATCCAATAGATCAGTGCTGCTTCAGCTCTAGCGCTTAGTGCGACACTAATACCAGGACAACCAGACGAAGATTCCATAGTGCTCCCGGATAAACGCACGTAAAACAAGCTTTTCGAAACGACAGATGGGGAGTAAATTTGTAATACTTAACTAGAGTCTTGATTACTGGTTTAGGATAGACAACAGAAGTCGATACCAAGACTTTCTAAAGACATAGCCAACTCTATATGTTGTCCGATCTGCACTAGTATGCGAACGCTTAAGGAATCCAGTTTGAATGGTGTACGTAGTTTCAGAAAGATTGTTACAGTATTCTTATGCGGTGGTAGCATCCAACATCCGACTAGTTGGTAACTCAAGGTCGTTTAGATAGAACGGGGTTTCCACCATAGGCGAGCTGCTATATAAATTGAAAAACAATGATACACAAAGTGAGGATAAAAGAGAGTAGATAAGTGACATAGTATATAAAAAAATAAAATTGAATGTGGGTTGTCTGAACTTTAATTGAAGCGAAAACAGTATTTCCAGTAATAATTGTCATTTCATTTTATTTATGTATGGGCTGTGATACTGTTCAGGTGTCTAAACCGAAGTAGGTGGTTTTCTTAGGGGGCCACACCCCGAGCCTTCGACTTAAAGGTCTAATCCACAGGGCAGTGAAGCAACATAAGGAGATGCAGTCCCATGGTAGCCGGTGACCAACAATTTGTTCATACGCCATTTGTTCCCTTAGGATGCTGGAGCCCATGTACACCATTGGTTTGGAATCAGAATTTTCCAACTTCCGTAGGTGGATCCTCTATATCAACCAACCCAGTTAAAGCGCCGGACACTCGCCTTTCGTCCTCCCGATTTCGTAAGCAACACCCCACAGCGAGAAGGTAGTGAGTAGGACTTCTCTGGCAGTGAGTGCATACGCATCGACATGTGAGAGCATTTCGAGGGGGAAAGCAAACTCTTTCCACTCTCGGCCGTACCAGGGCATTTGGGAGCTTGATCTTGCATAATAATCATTTTTCATTCTATGGTGTGATATAGTCTAATTTGCTTCTATGTACATCAAGTATGTCTGAAATATACGGTTCATACAGTGGAAGCTAAGGTTATGTTTTGGACTCAATGGGCAGGGCTAGGCCAATAAGGATTCCGAGTTGACTCCAGGCTGCTCGTAATGGTTAACGCGCCATTGGTTTGGCACATTGCCAAGGTCCTATAAGTCGTGTTCTAATTGGCGGTTAGGTCACGTGATGATTAGCAGAGCAAAAGTCAGAACAAATGTATAATAACCGAATGTAAGTATAGAGTATTAATTTAAAACTATAAATCTTACAATAAGGATGGAAGAGTCTAAATAGCTTTGGAGCGACTGGTATTGTTATCCATGAACTTAAACGTGTGGCAATAGTAGAGGCATGCTATAAACTTTTGAGTTCACTATTTTTTAAATATGCAAATCTTTCAATACACGTTTGTGTATTAATTCGTTTCAGTTGATAGCCACCTAATCTACTGACACGTTTTTGATTTTAACAAGAGGTTTACAACCAATGACGAAGCTGATTACTGTCAGAGAAATCGTTGGTAAATGAAGCTAGATTGGAAATTATACCTCAATAAAATTATGCAATGGGAAAGATTGTTGTGAAAGCAAAGTTAGTAGTAAACGCCTACGTATCGAAATGAATGACAGCCAGTTAGTGAATCATACATATATAAATTTTAAATAGAACAGGAACAATTTACAAAAAGCATATTTTGTGCAGAGAATTGTTCTCTTTAACCAAACATAGAGGAGTAAATAGAGTTATTATTAATAGCAGCATCTATTATTATCATTATTATTATCATCGGTATTCAGCTTTCAAGAATGAGAAAAACGTAGTAACAATTAATGGAGTCTACAGTTTAAATAGTTATCTCCCTGAAATGATTATCAGTAGTAAAGAACTAGACCATTCAGAAACTTTCATCCTGATCCATCTCTAACGTGCAAAAAGATGTATCAGCTGATAATTAGGATGACTACAAAGGAAACACACACACATAATATGGTCTGTTAATTAAGAAAATATACTAATAAAAGTGAATTTAGTAGATGATGTCGTAAACACTAATGTATACTAATTAAAACGATATGTATTCTCTTGGTGATTATCTATATTAAGTCTAGTTCCTGTTTTTAAGCAACTATTTATTTCGCTACACTAAAAATGAAGTGATGACTTGGTAGTAGCACCAGTGGTGATTGTAATAATACTAGACAAAGCAAGATTTATTCGGTAACTAAAAAGGAAATTAATTCATCCTCCATTTTTCCTAGGGAATACGAAACAACCACAGTAGAAGATAATTTAGTAAATCGTAAAAAAGCACATAATTTCCGCAACCGAAAACGACCAACCTCCAGTATTAATGAAAAAACTGAATGCACGATTTTTCTGAAGATTTACGATCGTCTACTCACTGTTCGTATGATTGCTAATAAAAACAATGTGTATTCACAAGATTGTAGAGCATAACATATAAGGACTTCCAGGTCCGTTTTAAACATTCGAAACAGGGGTGTGACAGGTGTATTGTCTACAAATGTTTTTCAATTCCAGACAAACAGTAAATTCATAGAACATTTGATTCAATATACAACTAAAGTTTAGCTCATTCTACTGAATAAGTTGATGCGTAAATCCTTTTCTGTTTTGTTTTGCAATGTTTACTTTTAAACTTTTCCCTTCCAGTCATGTGCATATTATGTTGTTTATCTAGCGAATAACTATGTCATTCTACTTTGATTGATAAACAAGGTCAGTAATGAAAAATAATAATGACAACAATAACAAAAATTTCTGTGTCAGTCAAGAAAGCAACCGATTGTGTGTGAATAAAGATATAATTTGAAGAAATATATTTTTCGTCACAAGCTGATGTTAACTAAACTAATGAGCTCTGTGAAATTACTTTGTCTTAGATTGAAACTTCACGACAGTATTCACACATAATTATACACTCATACAGGACTGAACCAAAGTACGGAATTTACCAAAAGCAGTGAAAAACTGCATTCACTAAAAGTAAAAATTTTTGATAATTCACTATTTTTAAAAACTAAATGAACTCAGCAAAATGGTTATTAAGAGAAATCCAACACATGTTTCAGAAAATAACTTACTAAAAATTTGTATATTGGAGGATGTATCGACTTAAGAAGCGCGTATAAGACGTCCCCGTCAATTTGTACTCGTTCCTAATTGAGAAACAAAGAAGAAACCAGTAACTACACAAATATCATTAGCCATATTCTACACAATGAAACTTAATGACCAGGATCAGATTTATAAATCAGGCTCCAGGTCACACTTTATGTGCCTAAGATAGATTAGTGGGGTATTACGCGGCTGGTCAAACCGGATCAAATAGAACGAGTTTTGAATCTGAAACTTCACTGTGTGATATAAACCATAAATTGATCTTAGGCGCAACATCATTGGAAACCAAGAAGCTCCAAACGGTTTTGTCCTAGACTCAGACTCTACAACAGCGCGCGTTTAGGACTCAAACACCCGAAATTGAATCAAAAACCTTCAGTCAAACACATAAACACCTGAACTCTAAATAGTGAGACTTTATTATCGAATGCCGAACCCTTTAATCACTAAATATTTGATTCATCACTAGCTTTTATTTCGTATGGTGTTAATTTTGACTTTTAACGAATCATAAAACATTATTTGTTTGAAAAGAACCAAAAGATTGTACTTTAATGTTCAACTGATGTAAAAACAATATAGAAACACAAATATCTTCTTTTTATTGCTTTTCAATTTAATCGACTTCAGTACACTCAGAAATACCAAAAAAATTAAACAAAACTGCAAAAACCATGACTTACAAGACCATCATCATAATAAGATTCTAAATAACGTTCACAAATTTCATTGAAAGTCCAAAAGGCATCAACTTCCGGCATAAACATGAGTAGGACAGCTGCTAGTGGGGCTTGACCTTGACAGTAACCTTTCTCCGGATGTCTAATTGTATAAGCTTTTAGTAAGGTGTATAAACTTTCTTGACTAAAATAAAAGAATAAAATAATGAAAGACAGCAAGTTTTTGTATGGTTATATATATATATATATATATATATATATATATAATAATCTAGCTAGCTATTACTAAGCTTATTACCATCTTGCTGGAGGTCGTACTAATTTCGTACAACCGGTTGACTAAAAAACTGTTTAAACACCATCTAATTATTCCTAGAAAGATCACATAATTATTTTTATATGTTATTTTCAAAATGTATTATTAGTTATAGACACAATAAATACTAAATAACTGTTGTAGGACCTTGGTCGAAACACTATATTGCATAAGTAACACGAAACGCTGACAAATTCATTAATAACTGTGTTTACAAACACAGCATACTTAACCACTTGCTTTATTTACAAAATTCGGACAAATTCGAAGAATTCGACACTGTTTATCTTACAGGCGATACAAATATGACTGGATCCAATTTATGAAAAATTAACCAAATCACAATGCACAAATTGATTCAGAACTAACGTATGTATATGATAACAACACAGTGCGCGGTGATTTTTCATATGTTTAAATTACCGCACAAATCAATATTATGATTTTCGCGAAGTTTTTATTCTATGACAATGTGTGTGAATCAGTAGTAGTAGTGGTGGTCTTGCAATCAATCAAAAACATATGCCCATTTACATTTCATATATATATATATATATATATATATATATAATTTAATTCTATCGCAACACAAAGAATACGCGTAAATCTTTCCGTTTGTTTATTTAACATTTTTCTCAGTAGAAAAAACATCAATAGAGAAAAAAGTTGGTAGGTCATTTATTTATTATAAAAAATATATGGTTTTCAACAAGGCTGATAAATTATAAAAAAAAACTTAAGCGTATGCAAATTTAAGCATACAAGATGACAGGATTAATATATATATATATATATATAGATTTCGTGGTAGACAACCATTTAACAAATGAAGCAATCTTTTACGTTATTTTAGGCCTCTATGCAGAAACAATGTGAATATTTGACATCAATATTGAATATAATATCTAAAAATAATTTACAATTTACTCCTATAATAATATGCGATAGTTGTTATAAAGACAATAGTGGTTTGTTTAAATGTCAATCTGAAGTGATTCGCAGAAGAGCATGACCTCAAAATATAGTGGCATTTAGTTGCAAACGACATAAAAGAGACATAAAGGCGGCGATTGCAGGTAAGTGTTAAAATGAATAATTGGGGAAAAATTTAAATTTTCATTGGGTGAACCGTTACAATTTGTTCAACGTATTTTCTTCATGACAAAATGATATCTCAGTAATCACTGAAAACCACAGGGCACTCCACACAATCAATTCAACTTAACGATAACTGTGTCCTCATTATTAAATAACTTGGAGATGAATTACTGAAGTTCTAGTGGAAGGATCTGAGTGGTGAAATTTAAATATATCATTGATACTGAGTATCGATCATACCATACAGTGAACTGACCGAAATTAAAAGTGGGGACCAATCTATTTTAAATCAATGCTTTAAAGATTCCCGTGTAACCTGAGTCCCATACTAGAATGAAATATTCGTCTAATGTACCTTGACTTTCAATGGCTCTCCAACTATCGTTAGTCTATAATACAAATAACTGTCCCGATTTTCATTTTTTTAATGATAAAAGACTGAAACAAATTAGTCATGAATTACAATTACCCTGTTCACTTATGTGTATATATTTCATATTAAAAAGCTTTCTCATAGGATAATACCATTGTTAATTTAAATTGCGAACCAGTAATTAACATTTCTGTTTTGAAAGTTATTAGGTACAGTGCTTTGACGATTGTCATTACTTAAGCACCGACTAGTAAATCGAAATCAAATAACCGAAAGGAAGTGGCTTTATTAAATGCCAACATTTAAATGTTTTGAATGACAAGGTGACATAGTTCGAACAGTATTATTGGATAGTTTATTATGTTTTTAGATCAATCAGAGTAAACTGCCCAAACATTTTCTAAGTTAAGGTTTGTTATAAAATACATCTATAATAGTATTTCAACCAAATTACAACACTTCACAAACAGAGAGCTAAGTGAAATCTAAAAAACCTTAAACTAAAATGTACCAAGAGGAAAGAGTAGTTCTAGTATATTGTTTATTCATGTTGTTCAGTCCAATCCGTTAGTTATTATTGTATCAACCTACCCGGCTACATCACTCACACATGGAGAGTATTACACGACATGATAGCCCATAACCATTTGAGTGTGTTTTGTCGAGAAAATTAGATATACATAATAGAATGGCGGCAAATCATTTCTGCTGAGACAATCAAACAATGAGGATATATATGTATACCCGTGAATACAGTACGCGCACTTAGTTGTAAATATTTACTGGTATGTTACCATTGTTTTATGTTCTTAGCAATATTTGAACCGCCTTGCACTTTACTGTCCGTTAACGATTATTTCTAATGAAATTAACAACATTTAGTAATAATAATAATAATAATAATAATAACAATAATAAGTGTATGTTGGATTATTGAAATGTGTTAAGAGAAGGTTAGGAAGTTGAGGAAGGAAATAGAACAGAATAATTAATCCAATCGTCTATACACATGCTAGTGTTATAGAATGATGATACTAAGATAGAAAAAATTAGTCATCGAAGTTGAGGCAGGAATTATCATTTAATCAAGAAGACTTGAAAGAAAGCTGATCGACTTAGTATGAATGAAAATGAGAAAAAACAAAATATTGCATGAAAATAAAATTGGAATTGGTTGTATTCTATTTAAAGTGAGTTATTTTTGTGGTAAATCGTTAATCATAACAAATAAGTCGTGTCCACTGAAACCAATTCATGTGAGTACTACTTTAAAAGTACGTGTAGTTCATCAGCTCTGGTACACGAGCATGTGTTTATGCAATTTACTTAGCTTTATTTATTTGCCTATTAAAAACACAAAAAGAGAATAAATACAGACAGACAGACTGATAATGACTGTTGAACTGACCCATGACCTCCCTTTTCACTGAATAATTCATGGAAAGGAAATTGGCGATCAATATCACGACGTATTTGATCACAATTAACTGATGTCCCTTCTTGTAAGCAATAATTTGTATATAATTTCTCTGGATCTAAATCAATCGATGGGACAAGTGTAGCTCTGGGATCATCATTATCGTATTCTGTTAGAATATCACCACTTGTTTGGTTAGAAAACACGTCAATATTTCGTGTAATTCGATGTAAAATTGGTGATGATGACGATCCAACAGATGATGATATTAAAATGGAAGTACATGAATCTGTGGATGATGCTTCGTGAATTTGAATTTCGTTTTGAAAATGATTTGTACTAGAACTATCTGTACAAGATGTCGTACTAAGACTAGCATAACCACCGGAATTTCTAGTAGTTGTAACATGATTTGATTTTATCATATCAGTAGTATCAATATGTGATTCTGGTGAACATGATTTGCCATGAACAGATGCAATTGTTGAATAACCTGAATTAGGTAATGCTGATTGGTTAAACATTGAAGAATTAACATTGTTCAATGCACTAGAAGGTAAATTATGAAGACTGCTATGAGTTGTACCGGATATTGATCGAATAGATTCGCTATTGAAAGTATTTCGCTGCCACGGTGATATTCTTTGAGTATTTGGACTCTCGTGATTTTGTAAGGAAAGAGGTAGTGCTGAAGGATATCGACAGCTATCATGTGAATCAGGAATAACATCTTTAACCCTGCTAATGCGTAAAGAATGGAAACTAGACCCTTGACTTAACACAGTACTGTCAGTGCTGGAAGATAGAAAACAAAGGATATTATTAATACATCATGTAAATTACTTAGACAGTGAAGACATAAAATACAAAATTTACTTAAACAACATATCGCATTGGTTTTTCTAACAGGATGACATAGATCCCTAAGCACTCACTAGTTATCTAGATTGTATCGACAATGGTTTTTGAAGTCTGTAATAACTTTACAATTTAAACAACCTGCTTAGGAAACTCAACACTTTAAAAATCCTTTCCTCATTCAAGAATTTAAATCAATATCTTAAAAACCATATAACGTGTCAGTCATATCGAAGAGGATTTAAGCGAAGTCGGACTTTCATACTTATCCAATTGGGAATCATTGCTTACCGTTTTATTGTACAGATATCAAACACTTGGATTCTTGTATTTTTATATTCTCCTATTTATAAGTTTTCGTTTGATCTATAAACCATTATAATGTTTTAACTCCTACAGATTTATTATTCATTACTTTTTATTGCTTTATTTTCATCTCGTTTATAATTGAGTTGTGTATATATAGTAACGTTCTATTTGTGCTGAAGTGAGATCAGGTATGAGTTGTGAGTCGGACAAGAAAATAAAACTGCTGCCATAATAAACAGACTGATGACACAGGCCCTAATACACGCCAATAATCGGCAATACTATAACATGTGAACGAACTAATTAGATCTGAGTTAGAGAGTCTTAGATCTTGAGATGGTGGAAAAGATTTTTAGCTGAAGTGGATGATTTTGGTGGAGTTTTGTTCTCTGAGCTGGATGGTTTGGTCGTGGAGCTCTCATCGTTCTTCTGAACGACATCGTCAGCACAAACTTCAGAACTTCACGAACTCATGATATCCTTCGACGTAACAGCACTGTTCACCTCAACTGAACCACAGTTAGCAAAAGAAACTATATCCCTGCTGCTCAACAACGACACAAATCTCAATAAATACACGAAGCTTAAAATTCAAAGTCTACTGGAACTCATCGATTTATGCCTAAAAACATATTTTCAATTCAACAACAAAATCTACGAACAAACGAAAGGGACACCAATGGGATCACCAATATCAGGACTGATCGCAGAGGCAGTGATGTAAAGACTAGAAGCCACTATATTACCAGTGATCAAGCCAAAAATTTGGATTCGCTACGCAGACGACACCTTCTTCATCGTCAAAAAGAACGAACTGGAAAACACATACAAACTGATCAACAACGTTTTCAATGACATCAAGTTCACAATGGAAAAGGAGTCAAACAACCAACTAGCATTCTTGGATATATTGATCACTAGAACTGACACAGGAAAACTGGAAACTCAAGTATATAGGAAACCGACCCATACAGATCAAATTCTCAACTACAACAGCAACAATCCAAGAGCTCACAAAATCAACTGCGTACACACATTGTTCAAGGGGCCGAGGACACACTGCAGCACACCGGTAGCACGAAAAAATGAAGAGAAATACCTGAAGGACATATTTCAAAAAAACGGCTACCCAATCAGCTTCATCAAAAAGCACCAACGGCACACAGCATCAGAGCCCAAGTCAAGCACAAAAATCAGCAAAAGAATCACCCTACCGTACATACAAGGAATATCAGAAACCGCAACGAGACTGCTGAAAACCTTCGGGATAGGTGTGGCACACAAACCAACAAAATCACTACAATCAATCCTATGCAAACCAAAGGATGAAATAACAAAAGAAAACAAATCAAACATCATCTACAAAATAAATTGTACGAACTGCGACAAACACTACATCGGACAAAGCGGACGCCCCCTCCACCTACGCTTACATGAACATCAATTAGCAGTCGAACGCCATGATATCTCTTCACTTATATCAATACACGTGGATAACTACGGACACTCATTCGATTGGAAAAATGTAGGAATCTTAGACAGAGGAAACTCCAAAAACACCAGAGAATTTTTAGAAGCATGGCACTCAGGTCAATCAGCAATCAACAAACATGTTGAAATCAATCCAATTTATCAACCAATCAAGAAAATCATGCATAAATATAGGAACAAAAATCAAACCAATGGGAGACACAACCAAAACAAAGAAGTAAACAATGATAAATTTAAGGTCAATAAGAACCAATCAACATCGAGGTGCGCAGAACAAGCTGTGAAACACATATGGAGAAATTCGAACACTTCACTTCTATCTGAAGTTTGTGCTGATGATGTCGTTCAGAAGAACGATGAAAACTCCACGACCAAACCATCCAGCTCAGAGAACAAAACTCCACCAAAAGTCTTAGATCTTGGCGCGAAATTCATTCATCTATATAGCCAAATAGGATTTTCGCATTATAGCTGATCTCAGTTTGTAATGAAAACTTCAACTCTAATTTATCAGCACAATTTCTAACCTTTTTAAACCCTACTTTGGCGTCGCTCAAGGGTCATCTACAAATTATAGTCTTGCCCAATAATCTTTTCCTTCTTCTCGTTAGACGAAAACAGGATGACTTCTCTAAAAGCGAGCTGAAACAACGAACACAAGCCATGTAGAGACGATCCATTTAGGATGTATGTATATATGGCAATAGAGATTACTCAATTACAGTCCTGAATATCAACAACAGGAAATTAAAAATTCTCAAGTTTACCTGAATTGTCCCTTATTTTATCCTTGTTTAACAAAACAACAAATATTCAACGGGTCATTGAGGCTACAGGTGAATTAATGAGTCACTAATGACAACTACTCCCATCATTATCATTATTACTACTAATCGATTAATTCTTTTTTCCCTTTATTAAATATAGTGAATCGCAGAATGATTCCTATCCCCTATTTACTGTTCAACTTGATTATATTTCATGGAACAGGTAGAATTCATTCTTATGGATCACACATAGAGGAACCAAAACTAACTAACAAAAAGACGACAATGAATATTTGATATCAAAGTTTGATAGCAAAAGAAGTAACCAAATAAGCAAGAGAGAGGGAAAGGAGGAGGAGGAAAGGGAATGGAGAGGCAAGGACAAAGACAAAGTACATTCAATCAACAATAGTAATAAAGGAAATAAAATAGAAGAAACAGTTTTCTGTTTTCTTTTTTCAAAAATGAGTCATTCATTTTTGCCAGACAGATCGATCGGACGACCACTACTGATAGACAAAATATGCTTTTATATTGACAACAGCCAAAAAAATCGTAAATGACTACATACATATATACAAATATGCATGAAAAAAATGTTTCAGTGAGATAGAGGGAATCACGACAAATAAGTTTGAAATTTTCTGTTTTATGTACATATAACCAGTAAAAATAGATAAATAGGAGACAAATACTATATTTTGATCACAATAGGGGTTTGTGGAGAGTTCATGATTCGATGTAAGCTAGACCACCATTGAAAGCCTGGAAGTACTTGACAGCCATCTCGTCCTAGTATGGAACTCCTCAACAGTGAACATCCACGGTCTCGAACCCAGGACCTTCGTTCTGGCGCGTGAACGCTTCATCTCTAGACCACTGAGCCGTCATCCATCGGTATTAGTGTCTAACTTCAATCGACCCATGCTCTTCAGAAACTGTTCATCAATTGTCTGAGGTAGATATCTGTCTCTACCCAACAGGAGTCCCATACTAGGACGAAACGGTCATCTAGTGCTTCCAGGTTTTCAATGGTGGTCTAGCTTACATTAACTCATGAATTCAACAACTAAAAATACTATATTTAACAAAAAATGTATAATATAAATCTAGGATTGTAAGTAAAATAAGTTTGTTACCGTGGAAATATGTAATGATTATTTGTACTGGGTTTTTAGATCAAATGGAATTACATGATAGATGGAAGACTTTTGAACAGTTCGACCTAATGCTATTTAGTCAAATAAATGAGTTATAAAGCAATCTACTAAGAAGCAAAATTAAAAGCCATTCTACATTACACACCCAAGTAACGCATCTAAAAGAATTAGGTTTAACCTTATCCTGCTGGCTTAATTGGTCGCAGACTGAATAAATCAATAACTATCACCACACTGTAGTAGCAGTAGTAACAGCTAAAGTACATTTAGTCATCACCACCTATATTTCATTTCAACACAAATTATTTTTATTTATATGAGAATAGATTGCCTATCATTCACTACATTTTTACGCATACATTTCGTATTTCAACTAGCAACGAAAAGAAGGGAAATAAGGAGATATTGTCATGAAAAAAATATCTGGTTATTCTTTTACAGAGAGAAAACTTGAAATTTATTTATGCTGTCTTACATCAAAATGTTCATTTTCTACAATATTAATAGATGTATATGCATGCAAGTTTAGCTGATTACAAAAATAGTAGAAGTACACATCAATATATATATATATATATATATATATATATATATATATATATATATATATATATATATATATATATATATATATATACTCGTAAGTTACTAGTATTTGACCACAGATGCCTTAGAAATATTGCTGGCGTCTGCTGGGATCACCGGGTAAGTAATAGTGAGGCTAGACGCAGGGTGTTAAGCAATGATGGTAAATCAGTTGATGAGGTTGTGAATCTTCATCGAGTGAGATGGTTGGGCCACGTGTTACATATGCCCAAACACCGATTACCACGACGTGCAATGCTGACCGGTGTTCGGGATGGTTGGAAGAAAGTTAGGGGCGGCCAAACCAAAACGTGGCATCAGTGATTGAAGTCACTAACTTCTAGTCTTAGTCATGTTGGTAGATGCAGACTACTTGGTTGGGGTCTGCGTGATTATCTTAATCAATGGTTGGAGACTCTTGGTGACATGGCTCAGAATCGATCACAATAGCGTAGGTGTATACACTCTCTGTCTTCCCTTAAAATACGAGAATAAAATCGCTTCATATCTTTCTTTGTACGAACTAATTCTTTCTTCCTGTACTATATCCTTGTATGCAATCTTTCTTTTATATATTACCACCTTTGAATTAACTACTTTTATGAATTTGGTGTTCATCTTTTTGTGCTACCGAGGTGTGACAACTTGGACCGATGCATATATGTGCCTGGTCCTATGTTGCAGCTGACTGACCATATATATATTAACGACACAATAGTATACGAGACGTCAAGATATTGAAGTATAATTCATGCAAAGTGAAAAAAGCTAAACAGAAAACGAACTAAATCACAAATCACATGAAATAAGGTTCAGGAAGAGTAAAAATGTACACTAAATGTAGTGATATTTTCATTGAAATATTTTATAACTAAGACAAGTAATATCGTACAGTTATTGCAATCACGTAAGCACTAATAAAATGAAAAAAATACACACACGTACACAATCAACATGGATATACTAAAGAAAAAGCATTTACTTACCCGTGCAATTTTCGAAATAAAAGTTTGCGTCTGTTTAAATAGAAAAAGAGAGATAAGAGATAACGAGGAATCTGATAGAGAAAAGAAATATTTAAATGGATTGTTGCTTATGTGCTGGTCAGAAGACTCTGCATTTTGTCAGCCTCTTCACCAAACAGAACTATGTCATCTGCATATTCTAAGTCAACAAGTGAACCTCCCGGTGGAAGTTCAACCCCTGTAAAGTCAGATGAGGAAAGTGTTATCTCTAATAGTACGTCGACGACAAAGTTGAACAAGAATGGGGAGAGTGGACAGCCCTGACGAACACCACTTGAGGTAATCAGTTCTGATGACAGTTCACCATAAGCTCTCACTCGACCAGTTATGTTCGAGTAGAGAGCCTTTATAAGGTTAATGTACTTCTTTGGTACTCCTTTCAGTGACAAACACTGCCATAGAACCTTACGATCGACAGAGTCAAATGCCGCCTTAAGGTCGAGAAATACTACCATTGTGGGGCGTCTGAATGTGTGTCTGTGTTCTAGAACTTGACGTAGTGTGAATATCTGGTCTATACAACCACGTACAGGTCGAAAACCAGCCTGGTTTTCTCTAGTCTGCTCTTCACGAGCTTTAGTTAGGCGTCGAAGTATTGTTGAAGCTAATATTTTAGACACTATATTAGTCAAACTGATTCCTCTGTGATTGTCACAAGAGGACTTTTGTCCTTTCTTATAGACTGGCACAATCAGTGATTGAGACCAGTCAGATGGGATTACGTCCAGTTCCCAAATTCTACCTAAGACCTCGGTTAATCTCACTGCTAATACTGGACCACCATCCTTAAAAATCTCAGGAGTAAACCTGTCAGGGCCTGCTGCTCTCCTTCGCTTCAGATTTCCTATGGCTTTTCCAACTTCGTAAAGAGACGGAGGACCTACACTAACTTGCCATTCAGGTTGACTGGAGATCGTGGGAAACCGAAGTGTGGCTGGAGGTTAGTTGAACTGATCCGTAAAGTGTTCTGCCCATCGATATAATCTCCTGGATTGAGAATGCATGACATGTCCATATTTCTCTGAGTGTTTCGCTAACAGTCGGTTTCCTAATACCGGTTTCTTCAACAAGTCTGAACAATTGTCTGCTATTACCTATGGCCGCTGCCTTTTCCATCTCTCTTGCTTTCGTTACCCACCACTGTTCACGATCATTGCGTAGACTTCTTGTCAGCTTGCACTTAAGCTGACTCCGCTCTTCATTATGTTCAGAGCCAGGTGGAATGAGTTTCCGAGCATCTATCAGTGCGATAGATGCTGCTGAGATCCAGTGTTGCTCCCTAACCTTACGGGTTACCGTACTAGCAGATATCACTGCTGTTTCCACAGCTTTTCGGATATCATTCCATGCTGCCTCGGGGTGGGCATCACACACATGGCTGCCTAACTGTTTTCCTAGTTGTTCCTGAAATATACTCTTAGCTTGACTATCATTAAGTAGGCCCCTAAGAGGTTTCCTTGCAGCGTCTTTCCTACGTCTAGTAAGACGCAAGCAAATACGCGCTCGTACTAGAGCATGATCTGAATCTAGGCATGTGCTCCAGAATGAGCGACAGTCTTCTATCGAGCCCCTCCATCGGTGGCTGATAGCGATGTGATCTATTTGGGTCCAACGTTGGGACGAATTAGGGGGTTTCCATGTTAAAAGATGTTTTTCCTTATGCTTAAAGTTAGTATTTGCAAGGAACAGGCGGTTTATCTGAGCATAGCTGCAACAGACGGTCGCCATTATCTGTTCTTTGAGCCACGATGCTATAAGACCCACCCAGGTGTCTTTCCCTATCGCTTAGTTTACCTACTTGAGCATTAAAGTCACCGGCCATTATTATTACATCCGAGCGCCTAGCTTTTCGGAGAAGGTCGGAGAGCTTTCTGTAAAACTCATCTTTTACATCATCTGAGCTGCAGTCAGTGGGAGAATAGGCAGAGACGACGAAGAGGCAACGACGAGTGTCCCTATCTTTCCGGATTCTTACTGTTCCGTTCAGTCGGACAGCGCACAAACGACTGTTTACTGGGATCCACTCTAAGAGAGCTAGTTCTGCCCTAGGACTCAATGCTATACCTACGCCGGCGAGGCCACGGGAAGCAGAATCAGGGCTTCCAGATACACGAAGCGTAAATCGAGTCGGTTCTTTATTTTGGCATGGTGAGGTCAAATGAAAGACGCTACTCGGATCTTGTATGCACGTTTCGGAGACGCAGCACACATCGATGGCGCGAGATTCTAAAGTCCTAGCTAAGGAAGCCTGCTGTCCTATTTGGCACAGTGTTCGTACGTTAAAAGCTCCTACGTGCAGTTTAGAGCGTGGTTTCAGGAGACCAGGAATGGCGTTCCACGTACTCGAATCGTTTGCCCTAGCGGTGCGAGGTGATAAAGAGACGTGAGGAGGGTTAGTCGGGAGGATAAGAGAGGTATTAGGAGGTGTAGGAAGGATTTGAATGTGACCACCTTGGTCTCTTGTGCTGTTACGGGTATGAGGGCTGATGTCACTTCCCGGCTGCCCACACCGTGGAAGGGTATTTCTTGATGAACCTGAAAAGGAAATTGGATTAGTGTTGGTCTTGACGACCTGGGAGCGTGACCGCAGAGCCCAAGGGACAACTGCTTGAGGCCGGTCGCGCACGGCCTTTTTGTGGAAGGTTTTTGACGTGTTAGCTCCGTTCTTCAAGGGGCCTTACCGCCGGAGACGGAAATCCGTGAGGTAAGGTGAGGTGTGCATTTTTAGGGTCGACCTTTTCTAACCCCACCCCTCCTTGTGGGAAGGCAGCATCGCTGTCATGCTGGTTGTCCGAGGGAAACACCTTACTGCTGTCACACCTCTCTACAGTCAGCAGTACGACTTCGCCCTCAGACCTTGAGTTGCTGCTTTTAGTCTTACCGTTCTCCGATCGACCTGCCCGGAATGGTAGAACCTACAGGAACATATGTTCCAGCCAATATAGCTCGGTTGGGTCATCACGATAGGCAAGCCCGACCACCGCTTCAAGGTAGCAGCTTCGGTCGTGAGTTGGTTACTACTACTAGTCCTAATCTCATAATTCTCTATCATCAAACAAATCAATAGTCAGTAAAACATTTAGATCGATCATTTAAAAATAGATTTTTCAATGAAACGAGACTAAAACGGAAAAAATGAATGCCAAAAAAAATAAGTAAATTTGCAATGACAAAATCGAACAGAAAAATAATTTAGAAAATGTCAAAGTAATGTGAATTTATGTTCTAACCAAAAAAATAATTGAAAAGAGAAATTTTGATCGATCAAAGTTTACATTTGATCACTTTACATGACATACAAAAACTAATTGATTTCCGAAATAAGTATACTCTCAATTATGTAATCCAGTTACGGTAACTGTAAAAAATAACCTCAAGTTTACTTTAAGGACAATTTGTGAAGACTTAACAAAATGTACACACAATAGAGATACATACACAGAACATAATAGAAATGTGTAAGAATGCACTGTGTAGATCAAAAACAAGTAGATATCGCTACTTAAACCTTTCGTTTGTTAGATGGTAAGAGAATATAAAGTCAATGGTATGCGGAAAAGAGTAGACAAGTCAAGCTTAAATTATGTCAGTTGACGAAAAGGTATCAACACAGTATTAAAGAAATAAGATGACTTTAAAAAGCGATTGATACAAGAAAAAAGTATTATTTATTTTGTAATGATTTATGCGCTTGAACACTAAGCTGATTATAAGTTGTTTGAGTAAGAAAAGAAAATGTAGTCTACTGTCAAGATTGAAACTATGTATTTAATACAGAGATGAAACTAACTGAATTGAGATAGATAACCATTATTAATTGGGTGAGGAAAATGATTAACACTAAACTACTTTTACGACTGAAAATTTACCCCGATGTTCATTTTATATATTAGTAGCAATATGTTAGGATTTCGGTGAGATAGATTCCCAATTCTAAAATTTGGGAACTATGTAGTATGGTCACCTAGAAAGTAGTTTAAAGAATGTCCAAGCGTTCTAAGAACAACACAATTCTACATTTTACGATTTAAAATATATTCAAAAAGTTATCCCAGTTTTCTCAAAATCGGGATCCTAAGTACTTGTTGCAGCCCCCTCTGTTCAGACCCCATGTCTAATCAAACAATAAGCTTCTCTAAGTAAAACTTGCTTTCTTCGAAACCTACATACAGTACTCAAGTGTAATTATTCACTTAACTATACCCAACTGGTGTGGAGAACTAACATGATCGACTCTTCTCATTTCCAAAGAACTGTTAACGACTCGTGATTAAGTTGATGTAAGTACAGAATTAAGTTTGAAAGAACGGAACTTCAATCAAATATCGCTTGTATGCTGAGTGGTTGAATGAAAACTTACGAACTAGAAAATGAAGGGATACACTTCATTATTTTTAGCAGCTTGTATTTACATCCCCGATGAATTCATCCAACATGAAATAGGTGAGTTCTAAGGTAAATTCTCCGGACTTAGTGGGAAGAACTAGGGAATCAGAAATATTAATAACAGAGTTATTTCAACGTCTATGTTGGCTGAAAAGCACTGGAGTAGAACTTTAGGACATTTTCATATTGAACAAAGTTTAAAACAAATTAGCAAAAAGCAATAAAGGCGTTCTTAGACGTATCTTTATGTAAGTTTTCCACCTTTTCAATTTATAATTCTGTTACATTATTTCATGGTGTATGCTATATCAGCTTTACTTTTAATACGAAAAGACTTTAGTATGCGTTGGAGCAATAAGAAATGTGTTGCTTGCTTTGTATTCTAACTAAAAATAAACGGAGAATCTTTTGATAAGTTAAGTATAGAACATTTGTCCTTATAAAATGATCATAGCAACTTAATAATATATATATATAACACGTGGGTTCTTTCCACTTAAACAATTACAATCGTGATCATGAACCGAAGAAAAGAATAACATACCAATTATAAACAACAAGTATTGTCACAATGCATTAAGCATAAATCACATGGTGCTGTGTTTCTTTACTCTTCTTTTGATTAATAGTCAATACTTTAGTGAGTATTGAAAGAAATTTTAAATCCACGGTTAGTTCAACTACGATTGGTGATTAACTTATAAAAGTTTCGTTTCAAGCATAGTATTATACCATTCAACATTAGTATCAGTAGGCAAGATATAGTGAATTCACGTATATATCGACGTGCATCGCAACGTCTTACTAAATTGTTTGACGGGACACTACTCATACAACTGCCTGTTAGAATCTATTTCAAGTGCATTGACAATCACGTGGTGTGCCTAGTCCTAACATGTAACTTTAACGGAATTGGTCACTGGATTCCAGGACTATTCAAAAATGATTTCTAAAGTAACGAAACTAAGCTACTAGGGTCAAGCGAATAAATAAACGCTATTTGAGCGCTTCAACCAATTAAAGTCTGGTGCTATTAGATAGTTGGAGGGTACCATCAGAAAAACCTAGACTTGAATTTTGTAAAGGTTGATACTCTTTGGCAAGATTTACAACCATGAAGGAATCGATAATCATTCAAAGATTCTAACCGGCGTCTCCTAGTGCCACAGTCAGTGATGTTACTAATGACAGTTTATTTTTTCGTTCGTCGATACGGTTAGAGGTGATCGGTTCAGAAATAATCCAATCTAGGCAATGTTTTCAATTTATTTTTTGATAACACTAAGTAAGCATCTTCACTAGGTAGGCAGTTTCATTTAGGAATCAATAGGTCACATGATAGGTATTCATTATTGACCATCTGAACTACGGAAGAATAGTTTCTTTAATTTGCAGGTACGTCTACAGTGTCGGCTAGCAAGACGAATGGGTCCAGCAATTTTCTGCTATGTTCAACCACGTAACAAGTTAAATATCTAAGTAGGAAACATATCACTATTTATATTTCACCGCACCAATCAGAATACCAAAGTTGAAAAGACTACTCGGTGAATTCAGTAAGACTAAATATCAAATAATACTTCACCTCATAAACTAGAAATTGCTATTTTAAATAGCCCACAATAATATGTAGGTTTCTATTAGGCTTTAGTTATTCAACATATTAAATGTTATAATTTACTAAATAAGCCTATCAGTCAGTCAGCTACAACGTGGGGCCAGGTACGTATATGCATCGGCCTATACTAAATAACAATTATTAAGGCGTAAATTAAAATGAATCACAATAAATGAACGTTAAAAGGTATCAATTATAGCTATTCTTAGTATTATTATTATTAAAGTTTATTGATTCTTCATGGAATTATAAGGACATCAACAAGATACTATTATTCAGTGTAAATTAAAATAAATTTATGCATACATAATACGAACTAATATATCATATACAAATATATGAGTATACAAATAGGGAGACATGAAACAAATGTTTAATAATTTAATCGTTCCTGTTAAGATCAGGTCGAGAATCGTGAAAATCAAGGTATTAAAAACTAAGTAATATACCCATAGAAATGTTAATAATGATGACACTAAACAAGAGATCCATTCAAAACTTAGTCTGATTTGTAAATACAGGCGATCAACTGCAATGCAGTAGCAGTATAAACAAAATAAGGGAAAATGACAACATTAATTCCAGGTTGAATTGCTGCGAATTTTACAAATATAATTTACTGTTTAGTATCTTTTAAGCATTTGTCTTTTTATCCGGAAAAGTTCGAATACCGAGATTTTGTGCAGTCAAAATGCCTTTGTACTAGAGTTATTTTAATACATTAGTCTAATGAATCAGAGATATTTAATGAGTTAACAGACGACTACGATTAGTTGGAAATTTAGGTGCTGTAGAGTTAATTAGTACAGAACATTCTCAAAAACGATGTTTTCGCACATGAAGTCTTAACGTTCGATTTACACGTGAATTATTTTATAAAATGCATTTCCCCATCGACCATGTAGAAAACGGCTTTACTAGCTAACTAGTCTCACTACATCATACAATTTATTAATAAACATACCATAACTAAATAAAAGTTTAGAATAAATAACGCATGGCATAAACTATTTGACTATCAAGCAATTTGAGGACCCTGAGAGGTATTTAAAGGTAGATATACAAGCTGCAAGTCACACGTTATTATTAGCGATCTAATAGTACCACTTGCAGTACATATATGCCATGTGAAACAATGGCCATAAAAACATTATATAGACTTAAAACTCACCTATCATCTTCTTTAATTTGACTAGCACGAAAACTTGGAGAAGTGATAACCATTTGTAAACTTTTAAAATTTGTTCGATTTGATAATGTGCCAAAACGATGCCTAGGAAATTTACTTTTACTACTATGATCAACACTTTGACTAGTTCCTGTAGTTGTTGTTTTTGTCTCAACAGTTTCATCACATGTAATTCGTTGACGTTGAACAAGTACCATTGGGCTTGCACAAAGTCGTTGCCATGCTTCACAACGAAATGAATCAGGAATTCCTTTTCGACATCGATCACGTAGCTTTTGATGGTACTTAAAATACCATAAACTCCAATTAGAACACATTTTCCTCCATTTTAACTCTCGTGAACGTATAACCTCGATGGGAACACGATCTTCTCTAAAAATATGTAAAAAATAACTGAAATGCTCTTCAGAAAATATCAAGAAACGAAATAATCATTGTCATTCTGTGATCTGAAAAATCTAAAAAAATTTGTTCCGTAAACTCGAATTATTAACATTGACCGTGAAGTTGAACTCATAAAAGATAAAGGGAACAGTATTAATAATCATACTCAATGACGAAAAATAAACAAAGATGAAAAGAATTGCTGATATGGGTCTTGTTGGTATTAGCAGTTTGCTGGATTTTAATTTTTAGATGTTGACGAGAAAATTTTGTTCGTACTCTATAGAACAATCAAAATCTGTACAGCAAGGAAAGATGTGAAGTGTTTAGAGTTAATCCTTAAAATTCAAACCTTAACAACATTGATAAAAAAGCTGATCTTTCCGATCAAGCTTGTTGTAAAAACAGCTCATTTTGACAACTGTACGATTTCATCTTACAATGTAGATATTCATTATCTGACAATTGCCTAGTTGCCCCAAAACTAACATCGATCTATCTGGCAATAGAAGGTCCAGGAATAAGCGATACAGTCAATATATCAACTAGATATCTGAGAAGAACAAGTCCCAGTAGAAAATAAAAGCAGTAGCTATTAACTGGGCTGTTACGATAACGGACAAGAAGTATCGTAAAGAAATATAGTATCTGAAGACCAACGAAGTTTGTTTGTATTGAAAAAGTAATTAAAACAAAAGCGAACAAATAAACGCACTCTAAATAATGCTTTGAAAAGGATAATAATTTTATGAGGCGAAGGAAGTATCTCTGATGCAGAATATTTGAGACGATGATACAATTTAATGCTACAATATACTAAAGACAAGATACGTCGTTGTATTATCAAGAGATTGGGAAGAATCAGCACATGAAGCCGAACTTTATTTTATTTATTTACTATTATTTACTTAAACACAAACATTGGTAAAAGGAGGCACCAAATACATATGCCCTGGGATACTGCCCAGGTGCCCAAACCGAAGTAGGTGGTTTTCTTAAGGGGCTACACCCGGAGCCTTCGACTTAAAGGTCTAATCCACAGGGCAGTGAAGCAACATAAGGAGATGCAGTCCCATGGTAACCGGTGACCAACAATTTGTTCATACGCCAATTGTTCCCTTAGGATGCTGGAGCCCATGTACACCATTGGTTTGGAACCAGGATTTTCAGATTCCCCTAGGTGGACCCTCCGTATGACATTGCCGACTCGGATGTAAAAATGAAATCATACTGAGAAAATTAATCAACAGTTCCATAAAAGTCACAAAATTAGACGATATATAGTCGATTAGGGTTGTAAATGTCTTGTATTATCATACTATGAGCTAGTTTTCTAGTACAAATAGATATCCTTATACTTGACTGAGATGGATAGAAAGCAAATACGTTTTCTGTGCCAGTTTGTTCATGTTGACAATCATAATTGTTTTAAGCAACACTCAGTGAAGTATAAGGAATAAAGTGCTATCTATAAATCCTAGACACAACATTTATGTTGAGTAACATCTTGGTAATTACTTAATGCAACCTAAAGAATATATGTTGACGTAACTATCTATGACATATTGCTTGTGTAGAAGTGATATTATCCTACTGGACGAACCGAAAGAGGTTAGGCGGATAAAAGTGAAAAATGAACAACGTTACTTCTACTGTTAGGCAACTGAAATTAATAGATACTATGTAATATCTAATACTTTCAATTCACAAAGGCTAGGTTTTTGTCCGATCGTGACAAGACTATTCGTTCGAAACAAAGGCTTAGTGGTTAAGATATTCGTTTTTCAATCATAAAGTCAGAGGTTTGGAAGCTGATTTTCCAACTATGGTTTTGGAAATAGAGTAGCATCATTAGTTTTCACATCGAAAGTATGACCGAAGACCAAGTTTATGAACCTAAACTGGGTTAAAAAGCTATACTGACCTATTTATACATACAAAAAAGTGAACTTTCCGCACACGATTTGTAATTTTAATCTCATGTCTCTATGAACTTAACAGGCTACCAAACTATGTTTTTTAACTGCTAGCCAGCGGCGAAAACATGCACAAAGTTATGTTTTTGGCAAAATCATTCACTAATTGTGTGGACCATGAATTACAGAAGACACTACGAAGATTTGCTGCGTAAACAGTTAAGTCATTAAAGTCGTGAACTAATACTTGCATTACCGGATTTACCACTCAAACACAAGTACTCGGTTATATCCTTAACCATCAAATAACACATTTACTTTACAAGGTAATTACTACACTTATACTGTTTTGGTAATTTTAAAAATGTAACTGTGACGACCTCGAACAGTAAATCCTAAAAGAAGATATTCTACTCAGACCTGAAAACCGTGGGCTACATATTCCAGTTGATTCATTCGCTTTAAGGAATAAAGTATGAGACGGATGTTTTGAAGAATAAACGCCATTTACATATAAATCTATGGCATATTATAAATAAGTAGTATCGCGCGTATATGAAAGGTAAAAGAGACAACATGTGTTAGAAAAAAGCCAAGTAGTAGAACTGACAATAACCGGTTCCTAGCATATGAAAGACAGAGAAGACGAGCAAGGCTTATCACTGTTTCAGTAGAACAAATTCTTTGGACAAGGGATCAATATGTGGGGTTGTCGAAGCAGTTTTTCTGGCACCTCATCAAAACAAGACTGAAATGTGTAAATGAAATGGGTAAAAATGATGAGGTCGAGTCACCCAAATGCCCTGGTACGGCCGAGAGTGGAAAGAGTTTGCTTTCCCCCTCGAAATGCTCTCACATGTCGATGCGTATGCACTCACTGCCAGAGAAGTCCTACTCACTACCTTCTCGCTGTGGGGTGTTGCTTACGAAATCGGGAGGACGAAAGGCGAATGTCCGGCGCTTTAACTGGGTTGGTGGATATAAGGGTCCACCAGCGGAAGTTGGAAAATCCTGATTCCAAACCAATGGTGTACATGGGCTCCAACATCCTAGGGGAACAAATGGCGTATGAACAAATTGTTGGTCACCGGCTACCATGGGACTGCATCTCCTTATGTTGCTTCACTGCCCTGTGGATTAGACCTTTAAGTCGAAGGCTCGGGGTGTGGCCCCCTAAGAAAACCACCTACTTCGGTTTAGGCACCTGAGCAGTATCACAGCCCTCATACATATCAAATGAGATTTGTGTGGCACATATGTATTTGGTGCCTCCTTGTACCAATATCTGTGTTCAAATAATAATAATAATAATAATAATAATAATAATAATAAGTCAGTAACAACGTAGAACTTCGTACGTACGTACGTACGTACGTACATCAGTTCGAGTTGCCACACCACATTAGCACAGAGATGCACTTGTCGATTCAAATCCCGTAGTGGTAGAGGTAGCAAGAGTATAAGCAGTAATCGGGAAGATTAGGGTTTGGAGATGTTATTTAAAGAGTATAATCCAGTGAAAGAAATTTGGAAAAAGGAAAAAAGGGACATGAAGAATTCAGATTATGATATAGGTTAATTCAGGAATTACTCGAGTCATCCCTAACAACAAAATCTCACACTAGTTTAAGTCAGAATTTAATCATACGTGTTGGTATTTGACTTTTCGAAGGATATATAGGATGTAAATATCTTAACCGAAGCACACCATGCTCCCCTCTGCTTTCCTTTGACTAGCTAGGTAGTATTTATCTCTCGCAGAAAATGCCACTCAAGTCCAGGTACATGCTTATTACTTATTACATCATGATAGTAATTAAGTATAGACTTGTATACTCGACTTTTATCTACCCCTCAAATGTGAAGGTTAGCGTTACTATTCCAGAGGAATAATATAGAGCTTTGAGTGGTGGCTCGATGGTTAATGCGTTTGATTTTCAGGCATTAAGTACCAGTTATGACCCCCGCTGTATCGACTTGGGTTTGGGTATCCAACTAGTGTTATTTGGCCCTCACATTCAGAGTGGTTCATATCCAAGTACCTAGTAAATGAGTTGATTTTTTAGGGTCAAACCAGGAAACTGAGGACCGTTGGTATGTCTGTAGTGAAGACAAACAAAAACAAAGATATTGTCCCAAAATTAATTCCCAATCAGGGGCTAAAATTTGTTTTGACTGATACTTCGACTTGAAATTAGTCCACACGGGCCAGTTGATAATAGCGAATAGCGAAATTGTTTTATACAAAATTTCTGATGGGTTTTGTGGATATATTAGTAATTTCAATGGTTAAGATCATGAGTCAGTTGAAGCTAGACCACCATGGAAGACCTGGAAGCACTGGACGGCCGTTCCACCCTATTGTGGAACTCCTCAGCAGTGCGCATCCAAGACCTCGCCCCTTGCGAGATTCGAACCCATGACCTACTGGTTCCGCGCGCGAGCACTTAACCACTAGACCACTGATTTATTTATTTATTTGAACACATATATATTGGTACAGGAGTGCGCCACACAAAACAATGAGAATTTAAGTAGAAAAAAAGTGGAGAACGTAAAAAACATATAAAAAAACAATAACGAAGAGATTAGTGTAAGGTAGTGTAATAATAATAGTAATAGTAGGGGAATAGAAAGGTACAATCAGAAGAAATCTTTCAGTTAAGGAAGATACAACCACTTTTTTATGAAGAAAGTAAAAGAAGGTTACAACAGGATCGCCACTGGCTTCTATTCTGAGCCATATCTGATAACGTCTCTAGCCACTGTGTAGCACCCATCTTCGGACCCCAACCAGGGAGTCGTGAAGGACCGACACAAGCCAGCCCTTTGCAGCGTTCTTTCATACCACGACACCATGTCATATACTGACCACCTCTCCGCTTTCTCCAACCAGTCCCAGAGCCGGTAAATAATGCACGGCGTGGAATTCTCTGGGACGACATTCGGAGAACATGTCCAAGCCACCGAAGTCGGTGTTTCAAGATGGTGACACCAATTGCATTATCGTCTCTGTGCCCGAACACACGATGCCGAACCTCTGCATCACTAACATGGTGTTTCCACTGAATGTCAGCAATCCTTCGGAGACAGCGATGATCGAACACAGAGAGTCGTCTAACGTCCTCAACTCGGAGAGACCAGGTTTCACAAGCATAGAGCAAAACTGCTCCCACCGAGGCGTTGTAAATCCGACCTTTTACAGCCAGACTAACATCACGAAGGCGTCAAAGATGGCCCAGATTGGCATAAGCCGCTCTGGCTTTCACTATACGTGCCTTGATCTCATCACTCACACCCCCACCAGCACTTATGCAGCTACCCAGATACACGAACATCTCGACTACTTCTATCTGCTCACCATCCAGGGTGAGTACAGGGTTAGAATGCTGCCAGTCTTGTAGAAGTACTTTGCACTTTGAAGGTGCAGAGCACATACCATACCTACGGACACTGATTGCCAACTGATTAAGTGCGGATTGCATGGCTTGAGCAGTATCGCACAGTAAGAAAATATCGTCCGCATACTCAAGGTCGAGGAGTATTCCTCCAGGTAACAGATCCACACCGCCATTACTTACATCCATCAGAGCTGTTTCCAGAATGTCATCGATGGCAAAGTTGAAGAGGAATGGTGAGATTGGGCAACCCTGCCTAACCCCACTGCTCGAATAGAACAATGGAGAGAGGTGGTTGTATGCCCTCACTCTGCCTGAGGTGTTTTTATATAGGGCTTTCAGGATGTTAATAAACTTCTCAGGCACACCCTTCTTCAATAGACAATCCCAGAGAACAGTCCTGTCCAACGAATCGAAGGCAGCCCTGATGTCAAGAAACACTAAGATTGTTGGCCTTTGAAAAGTATGACGGTGTTCTAACATTTGGCAGAGGGTGAATATATGATCAATACATCCTCTACCAGAACGAAACCCAGCCTGCTCCTCACGAGTCAATCTTTCTCGGGTTTTAAACAACCTACGAAGTATGACGGAAGCCAATAGCTTGGACGCAATCGGAAGTAGACTTATCCCCCGATAGTTGTTACAGGAACGACGTGAACCCTTTTTAAAGATAGGGACAGCTATCGACTCATTCCATGACGTTGGCACACTCTCTAGCTGCCAAACCTTTGTAAACAACGTCGTCAATTCCTTAGTCAAAAAGTCACCACCATCTTTAAAAAGAGCCGGAGGTAAGTCATCTGGGTCAGGTGATTTGTAACGCTTCAAGAGTTGGAGTTCCTTGCGGACTTCCTCCTCATTTGGTGGATCAGTCGTCACTGGCCATGGAGGGCAGGACAGTCTGACCGATGTTGCCGGAGCAGCAAGCCGGTTGAACTGCCCTTCAAAAAATTCTGCCCATCGTCCAAGACATCGATGGATGTTAGTGATTAGCGTTCCGTCATCCTCGCAGATTGTTTCGCTCACACCAGACTTCTTGCTTCCAGTGGCTCGGATGAGTTGGAAGAGATTCCGGTAGTTACCAGCTGCTGCTTCCAGCTCATTAGCACGCTCCGACCACCAGGCTTCTCGGTCCTTACGCAAGCCTTGCCCAATCTCACTACGTAACAACCTTCGTTTGTGGTCTGATATTGACCAACATATGCTCAATAGTGACTGGCTTCACGAGGTATATCCTGGAGTTCTAGTGAGAGGTAGTGACCAGTGGAGTCCAACCAGGTTTGTGGTCAGATAATAACTGACAGAAGACAATGGTGGATGTGTCGCTCAATTTCGTGGATTAGTTGAAGTTAGACATTAACACCGTTGTATGCCAGCCGGCTCAGTGGTCTAGTGGTTAAGTGCTCGCGCGCGAAACCAGTAGGTCATGAGTTCGAATCTCGCAAGGGGCGAGGTCGTGGATGCGCACTGCTGAGGAGTCCCACAATAGGGTGGAACGGCCGTCCAGTGCTTCCAGGTCTTCCATGGTGGTCTAGCTTCAACTGACTCATGATCTTAACCATTGAAATTAATTATACAAAATCGTTAGGAAGATTTCTGGATGACTTTTAACGAAAGTACTTGGAAACTACTCAGCTTGAGCATTTTAACATTAAACAGGTTGAACCATATAGGACTTACCAGGTACCCAAAAGAGCTCGATTAAAAGCATGTAGACCATATGACCACAGACAGAAATGTGGAACGTGATAAACGGCATTTCGATGTAATGAAGTATTACTTACATCAACGTAGAAGTATTTGGAAGGCTTTGATAAGGGAGAATAAGCTTGGGTTTAGCCAGTTTCCTTATCTAGCAGCAACGAATAACTAGTACTATGAATTACATGGATTTATCTTGAAAAGATAGGGAGATTCAATATATACGTTGAGGTTGAGTAAATTAAGTGACAAAAACTGGTAATTAGATTTTATTTTTAGTGATAGTTAGTCAGTCATCTACAAAATAGGACCAGGCATATATATATATATAACTCATTAGAACAACTAAATGAACACCGTTATAGGGTAAGGTGGATGAAGTTAGAAAGTAAACAGTGACGATAAAGACCAGATAAGAATAATTATTTTTTATGTGAAGTTGGAAACAGGAATAACCCCCAAAAATATGGATAAATGGGTAGAGAAGTGACTGAGGTTGATTACTAAACCCTCTTCGAATGAACAGCACGGTGTCCTAGGTTATTTTAGAAGTAAGAACCATATTGGTGGACTGTTGAGAAGGCATCACCGCATTCAAAAAGTGCATTAGGGTTTTAGGCACATGATTCCAAAGAGAAATGTACAAATTAAACAAATGGAATAATCCAGATGTAAAAACTCATTTAACCTACTCCTCTGGATTTGTATACTGCTGGCCACCACGAAAGCCATATCTATCACATTGTAAAATGTCATCTTCAGACTGGAGTGGGCTATTTTCATGTTCATTTATGATATTATCCATCTTCGGCCAACTAGCATAGTTTTCACCAAGATCAAAAAACGCGCTAACCAATTCGTTGCCACAATTACTCCTTTTTCATACATAATTTTACACAAATGACCACAAAAATATGTCTCATTAGTATGGATTCATAGTCTCAACATTGTGTTTGTGTGTGTGTTTGTTGATATGTCAAGGCCATGTGCTTATTATGAGTTTCCTACTAGACTCTTGCGCCCTATTTTTTTCTCAGATAGCCTTCTTTATAGGAGGATGGGTTTTCTTTCTTCGACAGCTTTTTCGTGACTACGAAGTCAAGGACTCCATAGTAGTACTAATCTTTTCACTCACTTTTTCCTTGTCTTGTACAGTTTTCGAATTAGTAATTTTTGAAATACTAGATATTTTGGAAGCCTCTTCCAGGCGCATACATTGGCAGTTTATTCTTCTAACAACACTCTTAGATGTCATAATAATCATCCCATTTTACATATCATTTTATATCAGTAAGAGTTTACGAGTTATCCCTCCTAAAAATTCAATTAGACTTTGTTTCTCCTTTGCACTTATGACTGCATATTTATATGCCTTTTGGAAAGTGGGAACATCTTTCCCTATTTTGAGTGGAAAACATGGCATTGTATTCTTAGAGCAATGTATTGGTCGAATAGGAGTAGTTGGAGTAACTATAATGGCTTTTTTATCCGGTTTTGGTGCTGTCAATTATCCGTATTCATGTATGACCTACTTCGCCTTGTCCGTTTCAAACTCAGAAATACGCACAGCTGAGAGAAGATTGTTACAAACTGTAGATATGATTTTGGTGAAGCGTCGAAGACTAGCTCAATTTCAATTTGAGGCAAGAATGAAAGTTAGTCCATCGCGTGTTTTTAATTTCTGTTTGAGATTGTCTGTTTTTTTCCTATTATGCATGTTACGCCGTAGACATATTTTTTTAACTCAATGTGCCGCTTTATTCTATTAACTTCAAAACCACAGATCAAACTGCTGCGTTTTGTTAGTCCACAACAAAGCAGGGATACCACGTTCTTTATAACTCAGTTATATTTGTGAAAGAGCTAAGATACTACTTGTGCGCCCAAACGGAGACAGCTGGTTTTTTCTGGAGGCCAACACTTGGGCATTCGACCTTTATTTCATTGAGTGTTATTTTTTGCAGAACTTAGTCGTTATATAGCTTACAAGTTTTACCGCAAAATGTTTTTATGTGAATTTCAGCGTACTACCAACGAAAAATCTAACACCTTTTGGAATATGTTACGGACAGTTGGAATGTCCATTTCATCACCTCGTATTGACGAAAAATTATTGAAACATGAGGTTAGTGTTTCATTTATACACTGTTACCATATTTGAGTCATTTCTCTAGCTATTGTCTTAAAAAATTAATTTTCAGTTCCGAATCTAATTTGTATTAAGACGTCTTTTGTCTTGATAGACACTTAAAATTACAATAATGTGACCTTTAATCACCTGTTTTTTTCCGGTTTCCAGACCATCGATTTGGATCGAGTTAAGCTCACTAGCCAAGTAAAAGTTCATATTTTAACCCTTGTTTGTGATCCGAATACATGGCTTAATAATCGAAATTCAACTCCTGTAACCGCATTTTTATTTTATGTAATTCATAAAAAAAACTTAGAATGTAGGAATTCGTGCAATAAAAAGGCTAGATTGTGACGTCAGACATACTACACTAATTTATTCAGAAAACCCCTAATAAAAAGGATATTACCTTTAAAATAAAACCTCAATAACAACCGTCCACTTTTACGAGTGTGGTTCTTCCAAGGGCTTTAAATTATAGTTATTAATTCCATGTTACGCTTCAGTGATGTTCATCCAATACAAATTCCTGCTATTTGACATTATGATAATGTTCGAAGTATGATCAAAAAATGTTTTTACAAAGCCCAGCATACTCGATATATATCACAGTTACAGCCTAGGAAATCTTGCTAACAAAATCTACTATGGTTATTATCGTTTCCAATAGTGTGGTCATTAATGGTGAAAAAATGTGTAGTTGCTTCAAAATGAGTAGGACAGCTATTCAACCAACGTTTTACAACTTATAGAATAATAATTGAAACTACTTTTCACTACTATTAAGTTAATTTTCCTGAACTTTTGAAAGCAAACATCAAGCATTCTGAATTTTCATCGCTTACTTACTGTTGACTGTGAAGACGACACACGTATTCAGTGTTTGACAACGCTTTTACCAGCAACACCTAATATAATTCGTACCCACCAAGAGAAATCAAAAGACAGAGTCGAGGAGATCGGAAGAGTGTATTTGGCAATAACTAATATATCGGAATTCTCTGATCTATTCTGGCTAGCGATTGCGGTAGATGTTGAGCACAGCGTTACCACACGTGATCTGGTGCGGATGCCTGACCGAGCGCCTTCAGCTAGATGGGTCCACTAAAACATATGGTCAGCATCCAATGTTGAAAACTTACAGAGCTATTTATTTTGGGGATTTATTTACCGCTACAAATGTATAAGCCAGGAGTTTTAATCAAACATTATCACCTAGTTATTTATTACTTTATACTCCCATTTCGACTGATGTCATTGTTATTTCCAACAGCAGTTATACGGCAAAACATTTTAGTCTTATTAAAATTCAACTAAATACTTGTTTAGAACTCTTATGTTGTGATACTGTATAGAATCATTTTCCTTTTTATTTAGAATTCTTAAGTTACCCTGAAAGTTTTCACTATTTCTTACGTTCAGTAGGAAAATCTAACACGAGAATTATTTTTCGTATTCATCGTAAATTTCTCTTGTTTTCTTTTAAAATATATAGATATCTGTCCTTGAGGACTTAAGCCGTCAATTATTTCTGGAACTACACTACCTCCGAACTGCCCAAGAACGTATTGAATTTTCAAAAACATGGAAAGGGAAATATTTCAATTGTCTTGGTTATTTTTTCTGTGGTTATTGCTGTTGGAAAATATTTATATCCATTGTAAATATTTTATTGAATCGATTCGGTGGACAAGATCCTATAACACGCTTTATGGGTATAACTATACATTATCTAGGCTTTCAAATTGATGTAAAATTTTGGTCACAACAAATATCTTTTTGGCTCGTCGGTATAATTGTTGTAACGTCAATTCGTGGACTCTTGATAACTTTAACAAAATTCTTTCATGCTATAGCCAGCACAAAATCATCGAATATAATTGTTTTAATCATAGCACAAATAATGGGTACTTATTTTGTTTCTTCTGTATTGCTTTTACGTATGAATATGACTGCAGAGTATAGGAATATGTTAAATCAAGTACTTGGTGACTTACAGTTTCATTTCTATCATCGTTGGTTTGACGTAATCTTTCTTATCAGTGCTATGTGTAGTATTGCGTTTTTATACTTAGCACATAAACGAGTTGCTGAAATAAAAGATGACTATATTTCTTGACTTCATATTTGTTTGTACATATCGTTCAAGACAGCCTAAATATTTTCTTATGCTACCACTAACTTGCATTCCACAGGTTATAGGTGTTATGGTAATATGAAATTATATAGACTGTTACGTTATTTCTGTCTCTTCCAATTCATCTTGTTATTTTCATCTCGTGCCTATGAGATTTAGCAACTTGGGCCAATGCACATCTATGCGAGGCTGTACATTGTTGATGACTGAGTTCATGCACTTCATCCCTTCCATAAATTTAAATGAAGTTTTCGGGATCCTTTCTTTTAATACATATTGGAAAAACTAATGAGTAGTAATGACACGCTTAATAGTTAGTAAGAAAATATCTCTTAGAACAACCAATTTTTAAAATCTATCTAGGTAACAGTATAAGTTCATGTACTCAGTTTCAAGCCCTTGTGATCACCCCGTCCACAAATGACTGACAGTTTGTGTGTGAAGGTCAGTATTTCTAATTAACTTAGTCTAAATAAGTAGGGTGGGGTAAGAAGATATGATGTTGAATACAGCATTTCAAAATAGTTTAGTACAATATTCGGCTGTGAAGTAGTATTGTTTAATACACCACCCACGTTTTGGCACTGCTAGGATGGTGTCAACTCGATTTAATTCGCAAATCATAGCTACCATTCCCAGTGATTTTGTTTTCAGACCCCGGAATTCCGATCTAGTCATTTATCCTGGTTGTGTGGTTGATTTTGAGAATAACTAATGTTGCAGCCTTAATACTATTCCTGTCGTTCAACAAGAATAATCCTTCTACGTTATTTTCAGTTGGAGAGTATCAATCACTGATACACCAACCGAACTTGGTCCTGACAACCATTTCCTCCCTCGATTTGTAGCTTCTCTTTCACCCCGACTACCAAGCCTTTCAATGCTGCGAAATATCATCTCACCTCCTGAAGCAAGGCCCAAACTAAATGTCTGAGCTGTCGATCTGATTTTAAGTTAGATAGGACAAGTTCCACTATTTAGAAGTCCGTGATCCCACACGATATATGTATGCTATTTCTCCGAAACCTGCATACAGTACTTAAGAGTGACTATTTACTTCACTTTACCTTATCATTATGGAGAAGCAATACAGTTTACTCTTCATTTATGTGGGAATTCTTTAGCTTTTTCTCGTGGTTTTCTAGATGTTAATCATCTAATAACCTTATAAGAGATGAGTGGTCAAAATCCATAGCTTGTAATGAAATTTACTTATGATTTTGGCGTACATTAATTCACAAAATCATCCATCCTAGAATATAAAACGATGGTATAGCAACTTGGACCGATGCACACGTGGGTCTGGTCCTACGTTGTAGCCGACTGACTGATAAATCTAGGAGGACCAGTCATAATCTACGGCCCTAGATTGAACACTTCTTATCATGTCCATTCTCGGGATGGAGAAGATTTGTAACTCAGGTGGATGGTCTTGATGGAGTTTTGTTCTCTGAACTGGATGGTTTAGTCGCGGAGCTTTCATCGTTATTCTGAACGACATAATCAGCACAAACTTTAGGTAGAAGCTCCACGATCAAACTATCCAGCTCAGAGAACAAAACTCCATCAAAATCATGTGAATTTTCAACCGTGTATAAGCTTCTACATTATCAGCCAAATAATTCACATCACTGGTT